TAATGAAACTGTTTCATATATTTCTCTAAAATTAAAATAATGAAGATGATAATATTCATGATTAACACCCTCCACAATAAAAATGGTTAATCAACCTCTCATAATTACAAAAAAAATGAACAAAATGAAAAATTATAATTGGTTGAATGAGGTTTTCACGGTTTTTACAAATTGAGTGGTTTTTATTTAAACTCACCCCTATATATATATATATGTCTTTATCTTGTAATTTTGTTTATTCGATTAAATTTCTTATGTAACAACATATATAAGTAAATGATGGTTGTCTTTTGAGAACCAAGTCGTTCTTGAGGAAGACCTTAATGTGGACCTTTTCGGTTACTTTGTTGGGTAACTCGATTGTTATTGACCTTAATATGCAACTATATGAAAGGGGTTTTGTTCGATATTTGATGTATTTTCTACTATGGGTTTTTATGTCTGTGCTTTATGGTTTTTAAACTGAACAATGTAGACGTCAGAGTTTTAAAAAAAATAGCTGTTTGCCATGTTGTGAGTTGTTAAGAGAGAGGCGTTTATACGTATAAATGTGAGTTATTAATTTGCATGCATTTTTCGATAATTAGTTTCCTTGACTATCTTCAATACATAACAAGGGCTCTTAGCATTTTTCAATCATCCTACAATTTTGTCGTAGATGATGTAACGAGATGAAACATATGGCACCGATTTGAAAAAATCACGTTTGATCTGATCAAGTTAGATTAGGGTCCGCTCAAAATTTATATGTGAAGCGAGTAAAATTAGAATTGCATTCCTCATGTTATGTCCTTAGTCCTGTAAGACCCGTGCACTTTTCTAGCATTACTATGACAATATGACCATCCACAGTTCACATCTAGACGTTAGCTAATTATTATCATGACACTGTTCCAATTTAGTTGCTTTATTTTCAGCAAACGTAGACGGCATGTGATAGAAAAAACACGACTTCTTTGCCAAGACCCAAATCTTGCTTTTTTTTTTAACTTCAAGGGGGGGGGGGGGGGGTTTGGGATTGCTTATTTAAAATAACATATGTTTTTTTTTTGTAAAAATGCTTATTAACTTATGTGGTATCAAACCGGAGTTTTGTAAAAAGTGTTTGGATTAGTTTATAGCGATACCAAAAAATAATAAGCTGATAAGTTGTTTTTAAGTGTTTGACAAATTTTGCTTATGTGTAAAATAACAAAAATTGACAGTCTTCCATATTATTTACTTATTAACTTATTTGATTTTTTAACATGTAAAAATTTATTTTTCATCATTTATAATAATATTTTTGACAAAAAATTATATCAGTAAGATTAATAATTAACAAACATTAATAAAACATGAATAAAATGATAAACTGATAATAAGTAAAGATTAACTTATCATTCGAATTTCCAACTTATAGATCAGGATAAGAACAAACATAACACTTTACCGCAATGAAAACACAACAAAACGTATAAAACCATATATTTATTGGACCCTGTAACTTTTTTTTTCCATTTGACCAATTGTAAAATAGACAAATATATTATTGTAAACACTATAATAAAATTGGGTTTATAATGCACCATCAATTATAAAGCGTCCTAACAGATTATTTTATAAGACTTAATTTATAAGATCAAAAAAATGTCATATCTAAAAAGTGTTGTAATAAGTTTATATGACTTTTTTGGCATTTTAACAAGTTTTTAAGACAGTTTTGATACAAAAGACGTTCCTTTATCAATTTTACATGACATTTTTTAGAAAGTTTCATAAAAACTCATCTTTTCATAGGACAATAATGTGATGCTTCGTACTAAAAGTGTCATGAAGTTGTTTTTATAAGCAATCCCGAACACCCACTAAGAATGTGCAATTGGTTTGATACGATTTCGAGGTCTCTCGTTTGCAATTTACGACAAGGATTTCGAGGTTTTCGAATGTGATTTCGACTTCTTTTTATTGATTCCCATAATTAAAAAAACGACAATTCGACATACAAAACAGAAGAAATGAACTGTGCGATTCACAGAGCTTGTTCATCGTTCATCTCCATCCCAATCGACCTTCATTTTAGGTCCGGTAGGTCCATCTTCGCTCGAAAATTCCCTCGGTATAACACTCGCCAAACTCCCGATTGCCGATCCCACACTTCCGCTCAACGAACTCTGTAATTTCGCGATCTCAGTTCCGTTCCGATACGTTATTTTTGGACCCCATTTCCTCGTGTACTTCACCCATGGTGGCTCGACTACATCACTGATGTACTCGGCCGCCATGATTGAATATTTGTCTTTAACATTGAAAAACTTGTCGCTTTTTGCCGCGTCGTTTTTTATCCCAATTACATTCGTTCCTTGTAGTACAAGTCCCGGGGACGGGTACGTTGCGTGGCCATTTAACGACGGATAAGCTGCGAAGTTATTCGTCGAATCTAAGAACTCGAGGGCCGGGGTGTCGACCCATGTCCCTCCRCTATGTTGCGCGAAATAAACACGATACAGAACTCCRTCGAAATTGCTAACCCTAAGGGTTACATGCTCCCAATCTCCTATATGTTCACCAATTCTTCCAAGAGGGATATCGATTAACCCGARTTTCGCGGTCGAAGGACCATTGAAAGGGTAAAAGATCCAAACGGCTACGTCTGTAAATGTGGCTCCAAGCATTGGTTTGACATGAAGATAAGCCTCACAGYTTTGCARATCACCTTTCTTGACCYTCTCTYTGTTGGTTTCRTCAACCGGRAGGTCGAGCCAGTACGTGCCATCGTTCGAACCAYCTTGAGGAAGGTTYGAGCCKGTKGGTTCGATTGAAATSGGGTTYGATTCKTCTCCYGTGTGGTACAACTGAACCCCATTGGTGAAATACCAAGTTGTTGAAGCTGGAAAGTAMGCTTCTTTAGGATGAAAGTAGAATCTYGGAGAGTATTCTTGAATTAGAGCTTCGATTTGTGATAAATTCGGCATCGAAGAAGTTAAGTTATCGAAATTRTTGTTCTTCAAGCAMGAAAGCGATAATAAACTCGAATCATCTACGGTTTTCACGATCACGAATGTACCTACGGACACTCCTCGAGCTAGTCTCCCTCGAACTTTCGGTCTTAATCCGTACACATTGACATCTTTCGAACTCCATAACAATGCATCGGTTTCGGATTCCTCGGTTAGATCGGATCGAACACAACGGATGTTATCGAAGGAGGGTTTCTCCGGTGAGGTGGTAATGGCGTAGCCTACTGGCTTATAACCCTCCGGTGGTATTGGTAGCCAAATGTAACATGATGAATCCTTACTGCTCCAAGCTAGAGTGTAGTTGATCGGAGCAGCTAGGGTTCCGCCGGAGACATCTTTTCCGGCGAGCACCCAACCAAAGAGTGGGGTGTGATTGGATTGACAGTAGTAACCAAGCATAGAGAAGCCATTTGGTATGGGTGATGGGTTGAAGAAGGTGACGTCAGTGTCATCTTGAGAAGTCGACCAAATTTCCTTGAAAGATGTAATTTGGCAAACTTCAAGTCCTCCGAGATCAATTGTTCCACTTGCAAAACCTTCACCTGTGATGTGAATTGAAATCAACACCCAAATCACATGCTGCATAATTTTTGTTACCATGTAATTGGTAACAAAAATATCTCGTAGTTATTTACTTGTAAATATTGAAATTTTCAATAAATTATTTAAAATAAATAATTTATTAAATAAAAATCTCTAAAAAGAAATTACTTCATTTTCAAAGGGATATCTATTTTGAAGATTATACAATTAATTATATTATTAAAATATTTAATACAATTCATAAAATATTATTTATTTAAAGAAATGTTTAAACACTAAAAACATAATTTAAAAAAAATTCACAAAAATCTAACGAACTTTCTTATTTTGAATGATAAAGTTCTTGAACATTTTTTTAATAAAAAAACCGTTGACATTTCTCATTTTCAATGATTAAGTTTCTGAACGCTTTTTTTTAGGGATAAGTAAACCACTGAATTTTTAAAAGTTGGTTATCTACATTCTTTTAACCCCCAAAAGCTACTTGTAATTGGTTACGAAGATTTTAAAGTTAAAAACCTAAAATCAGTTTTACCATTCCTAAACTTTACGTCATTCAAACTCCTCGCCGCTCCAACGTCGTCCTTTCTTCATACCGTATGTCACTGTCGTCATCCCCTGTGGTCGATCTCCTTCTTTTTGGTATATGTTTTTACATCCAGTTCTCACTCTTTTACAACAATTCAATGAAGTACTTATAGACAGATAAAAAAAGGGGAAATCTAAAAACCAATAAAAAATATGGAGTTTGTTGGCAAGGGGACAACAACGGAGATGGTCGGTGATGAACAACGGACTACGATCAGGTTGCGAGGGTGAGTGATGACATTGCGTTCGAGGAGTGTGAATGACAGATGATTTGGGAATGAAAAAACAAATATATGTTTTTTTACATTAAAAGCTTCATTCCTACTTACAAATAGCTTTTGTGTTAAAATGATGTAAAATAACCAATTTTTAAAAGTTCGATCATTTGTTTATTTAAAAAATAATATATAATTACTTAATCATTTAGGATATAAAAGTTGGTTGGTTTTTTCGTTAACTTTTCTTATAGATTAAGTCATTGAGTTATTCGGATTTTTAATAATGATTTTATAAGAATAGTAGGTTATTAGGGGCTGGTTACCTAAATGTTTACCCGATAAATGCTTATCGTTACGAGTCAAACACTATAATTTATTTTATTGGGTAAGGTTGTAGTACATCAAAAAGTATTCCATGCAACAATTTTTCTGGTAAGCGCTTATCCGGGTAAGAGTCGTCACCCTCACTTACCGGGTAAGACCCTCCATCCTTATCCTCGTTCTTATCGGGTAAGATTCTTGACCCTTACCATATTCATCCGGTGAGAATATTTATGGATAGAAAGGACCAATTTGAGCTGATTAATTAAGACCAATTATTTATTTCTTAAAGAGATTACCTGAAGCCTTTTTTTTCTAAACAAGTATCACCAAAAATAAATATACATAAATATTATATAAATATATTTATTTATCTGATTATCTTTTAACAATCTTAAATCCTAGTTGTTCACTCTATTTCCTAACTTCTAGACGTATCATTGATTTCATCAATCATCTCGAACGATTGAATTCAAACTAAAAATCGATTCAGTATATATTTTTTTAAACCTTTATAGTGTTTTTGCTGTGAAGTTTCAAGTGTAAAAATGTGGTCTCACGGGTCTCATAAAACAGTCTGGTCTCACGTGAACCCAACCCTATAGAAGATTAATCATTTAAGAACTTCATAAATTATGATAACCATGAGAACTTTTATCTTAAGATATTGTTTCATATGAATTTTTTTTCCCACCTAAGGCTAACATTTAATGTATTGACGTTAGAGACGCTCATGGGTTGGGTTAATCGGGTTGAAAACATTTAAACAACCCAACCCGATGCTTGCGGTTTGAAAGATTTTAACCCAACGCAACCCAAACCAAAGTGCAACCCAACCCAACCCGACCCAAACCAAAGTGCAACCCAACCCAACCCAAACAGTACGGGTTGGTCAGGTTGATACTTTGGTATATTAAAATATTTTTCTGACTTGGAATATGTTATTTTTCTACTCATAATTTCTTTTTCATCATCAACTATTTGATACAACTTATTCATATTTTTTATGTATATCACATTTAGTTAATTTTTTCAATTTACATATATATGTTCACAGTTACTAAACATATATACGAATGAGTTATATAGAGATGTGAATAGATTGAAAATACGTGCATATGAAGAACGTACGTGATAATGTAATTGTCTAATGCATATACTAATAGTATGATATCCAAGAAATAAAAGAATATCGGGTTCATCGGGTTGGGTTGAGTTCAAATAATAGTAACCCAATATCAACCTAATACCTATGGTTTGAAAATTTTACAACTCGATTAGACATCGGGTTGCTTCGGGTTGCTTCGGATTGAGTTATTTGGCGTTGGTTGATCAGGTTGGTCGGGTTTTTGAGCTCCCCTAATTGACGTGTATATATATATATATATATATATATATATATTTGTTTCACTATGTGTTTGTTTCATATGTAACACAATGTGAAACGCTTTTACGTGTAACTTTTGTTTCACAGACCGGCTAAAACACTACTAAAAAAGAGGTGTTACCATCCCCCACGATTGTTGGGCTGACTAACTATCAGCGACGGATCAACAACAGATTTCAACATTAGCGACGGATCAAGGCCTAATTTTGTAGTGAAAAGGTTCACGTTGTGAATCTTATACATGTGAAACAAACACATTGTAAAATAAATATAAGTTAATCAATATTCTAAATCCCAGTCTTAAATGAAAAAAAAAACATATAAAATAACATAAGATGCATTAATTCTCAAGATTATCACAGTTTTACGGGTTTTTAAAAAAGTACTCTTTATATTATATATATGAGATGGGAATCGTTTCAATCTCCATACTTGGGGATTAATATTTTATGAATGAAATATATATATATATATATATATATATATGTATGTATGTATGTATGTATGTATGTATATGTATGTATGTATGTAACCTTGAGGCCAAGAAGGCAATGGAGAAGGAAGCTTGAACGGAGCAGCTTGTGAAGACTCGGAGTTTCCCATTTTGCTACTTTACTTCTAAGCCATACATCAAAGAAAGATGGATAAGCATATATTTATATATATATATATATATATATATATATATAGATATAGAGATACAGATATAGATATATATAATAATAATATATAAGACAGGGTAGGGAAAGAGGGATGATGGCATCCAAAATTAAACAATCATGCCTACTGGCTACCGACATACATTTATAAACGTACATGTGTTTTTATTTAATATATAGGGTGGTAAGTCAAAAGTTTGATCAACTGTGCGGTAAGAAATTTACCTTTTGTTGGTTTATTTAATGAATTAAAAATGAATGTAAATATTATCTGATTTGTTTGGTTAAATAAACGAACATTAAAGTCCCATCTTATAGATCTGAAATCTTTGTGTGCATCATAGGCTAAGAATAGTCGAATTGATTCGAGTCTAGTCACTAGAGCAAAGGTTTTGTCATAGTCTATGTCTTCCTCTTGTCTGTATCTCTAAGCAACAAGTCTAGCTTTATTGCGGGTTACAATGTCATATTCATCCTTTTTGTTTCGATACACCCATTTTGTGTTTATAACAGTTTTGTTGGATGAACGAGGTAAATGGTACCATACCTTGTTTCTTTCAAACTCAGAGCTCTTCTTGCGTCGCATTGACCCAACTTGGGTCACTGATGGCTTCACTAATTTTCTTGGGTTCTAGTAGAGAAATAAAGTTAACAAATAAACAGATATTACCTAGACTATATCGAGTTTGAATACCTGCATTTGGATCATCAAGAATTTGATCAATAAGATGATTTTTTGTCCATCGTTGAGCTGGTAAATGAGTTGTATTAGCATCTTCAATGATATAAGGCTCAAGCATGGAAGATGAAGCTTCAATAATAGATTCTTTAGCATTCATTAGAGTTGCCAAGGGAGTCTCAGGCAAATAAATCATATACTAAGAGAGGTTCAGTTGTAGTATAAGAGTCAGTGATTGAAGGATCAACATTTGATGTGTCTGAAGGTGGTAGGTGGTTAATGGGAACAACAGAAATACCTGAAGATGATTCATTTCTACAGTTGTTCACGCCATAGATAATCTATGGATCATCATCAGCTTGTTGTTAATCAACATGTGATGGATAGCTGAAGGAAGCTTCAGATTCTCCAAAGTGAGATATCATCCATTTATTCACCTCTTCTTCATCATCAAGAATGGATTTGGAGTTTGTTGAACGTGATTCATCAAAAGTAACATGAATAGTTTCTTCAAAGGTTTATCTTCTTTTGTTTAATACTCTAAAGGCCTTGGATACTGACGAATATCCAAGAAAGATGTCATCGTCAACTTTAGGATCAAACTTTTCAATATTATCTTTGTTGCTTAGGATGTAGCATTTACAACTAAAGATGTGAAGAAAGGTAAGAGTGAGTTTTCTTCCATGGAAAAGTTCATATGTTGTTTTCTTGAATCCCTTGATGATCAACGATCGATTTTGAGTAAAACATGTAGTATTAACAACTTCAACCTAAAATTGAGCAGTGTTAACAGCTTCAACCTAAAAGAAAGATGCCATCGCTATTGGATCTGAGAAAGAATAACCAAGTATACCTGGAGAACTCATCAACAATAACGAGTGTTTCTTCTATCCAACGATGGATTGAATGTTTACAGGACCAAATAGATCCATATGAAGTAGTTGAAGATGAGTGATCACTAAAGAGACTTGCTTTGACTTGAAACTAGCTTTAGTTTGCTTTCCTTTTTCACACGTTGAACAAAGAGATTCCTTTACGAAGGAATGCTGAGGAAGGCCAGTGACTAGTTCTTTTCTAGACAAGTCATTTAGTGGCTTGAAGTTGAGATGAGAAAGCCTTTTGTGTCATAACCAGTTTGTTGGTCCCGTAAGGGTTTACAACAAGAGAAACAGTTTGTAGAAGGGGGAGGATGAATACAAACACAATATTTTCAAATTTAAAATATATATTGATAGAGAAGATCAATACAGATTTTAAAAGATTTTTTGCGGAAAGATAAGGTAATAAAAACTCTAAACAATCTTTGGTTACACACAAAGTTTTAACAATTACAAGAAAAGAAGTTGCTAAAAGAAAGATCATTTACTTAAGCTAGAAGATGCTTGAAGTAAGAATTAGGTTACAGAGAGAGATGTGCTCTTTGCATGGAGAAGAAACACTTCTATTTATACCCAGTGCATTAAATGTCCATTTAATGCAATATGGTAGGTTTAGAGTGCGTCTCAAGCTTTAAGAGGAAGGCTTGTCATTTGCTACAGTGAATAGTACAGAAGCACTATTTCTGAGCAGACATCCTTACCTAAAGTTGGTGGACAAAGAGTCGACTAGTCGGCTCCGTATCGTACTAACTTTCGTAAGGGTATGGGTTTTGTCCTTTGTGTGCATAAGGACAAGACAACAACAATCATGCTAAGCAAGCTTCCTTTGATCGATGAATGCTGGAATGACCTGAAGGTCTCACCATCATTCGCTGAAGCTTGAGCATTCTTCACACATGTGTAGACAGGCTTGTAATCACTGAATACAGCTTCAGATCACGTACTTGCTGGTCTCTAATCTTCAGTTTCAGTCTTCGACGTTTGCTGAAGGTTCTTTGGTGTGATTGTTGTCTTCTTGAAGTATTGCTATCTCTGATAGATTTACAATGCAAGTTCTTCAGCGATCACTGAACATACTCAGTGAAGATCGCTGGAACTGAAAATACAGAAACATAAATACAACGAATAATAGAAAAAAGGATTATCATCAAATCACTGAGAGAGAGGATCAACACAGTTGACATCTGAAGAGGCTTTAGAGAGAAAACAGATGTTCTCTATGAGAGGTGAGTCCATGTTGATGACATAGACATTTTCGAAGCATATACCAGTTAACGCAAGTTTGTCATATTTGTTAGTGACTGTACATGTCTTCTTTGAGAACTTAACAGTGAACTCTTTATCACATAGTTGACTGATGTTGAGAAGATTGTGCTTCAGTCCTTCAACGTAAGTAACTCATTTAAATGTGGTTACTCCATTAGTTAATACACCAAAACCTTTGGTGTATCCTTTTCCATCTCCACCAAAGGTCACTGAAGGACCTTTTTCTTCCTTGTACTTAGATAGCAGGGACTTAGTACCAGTCATGTATCTTGAGCATGCACTAGATATTAGATGCCTTTGACTTCCTGCAATATAAAGAAAATTAGTTTTGCTTTGGTACCCATTGAGGTGAGTTAGTGGATATGAAGGTTTCAACTTCCTTCACGGAATCTGATGATTCAATTTCAATGGTTTCTTCACTTTAGTTGGTTTACCAACTTTTATGGTTTTCATCTTTGCTAATTTTTTAGCTTTGGTAATATTCTTTCCCCTAACTGATTGTAGGGTTTCACCGGGATCTCAAACACGCAACGGAAAATAAACCAATAACCCGGAAACCCCAAGCACAGATCCATTACTAATAAAAGTAGAGAAATAAGAAACCAAACCATATGGGGTTTTAGAATACTACCTCAATGAATTGGTGGTTGAAGGCTTGGAGCGCGAGAAATCAACGAAGATCTCCTCTAGCAGTATCTACACATGAGCACGATTTTGATCCCAAACGGTTGGTAGCCCTAGTGAACCAAAACACAACCAGGAATCTTTTCCTTGTGTGTATGTGTGTTGCCAACTCAAAGAGAGAGAGGAGAGGGAGGAGAGAATTTTGTAGCTTGTCCTCTTAAATACTAATCATATTAGGATTAAAAAGGCTCCCCCTTTTTTCTAACAGAACGAGCCTTAAAAGCCTATGAGCTTAACTAAACAATTAATTATGAACTTAATAATTAAATACATGGGCTTAAAGTAATCATTACCATTAAACCTTTGGTCTTTGTCTTAATTAATTATTAACATAATAATAATAATACATATAATTATCATAATTATAGTTTACACACAATTATTATTACTCTACTAGAATAATAATAATAATAATAATTACACTTTACAACATGTAACAGATTTGTTTCACAACCAACATGGTTAAATCGAGACCTACATACTCTTTGTGTGTGACCCTCATAGGTTCATTTGACGTCAGCAGTGTTTTTATATGACGTGGACACAGAGGAAACTATAGTCTCCCACGTGTACACGACAAATAAAATGCAGACAGTGGTTATGTGTCTAGCAACACGTCACGACCCCCAAAGTCAAATGAACGAATGCTTTTAAGCGTCCATTGACACGGTCATAGTATGATCAGTGTATTCCTTATCCTTTTGCTACACGATATCTCATTTTGAACTGAAGGCATAAATCTAGCTCATCCTTGGTTGTTCAATTATTTTATTTTCTCGATTCTGATATTCATTGAGAGAACAGATACTATTGTTTCAATCAATCTACTTGTGTGCGACCACACATTTCTCAATTTATATCATCGAGGGGCCCAGAGATTTCTCTCTCATCATGAGAGGAGCAAATTCTATGTTGCATGCATATGACTCTCACCCAATTTGTATTACACCTAACATAGTCCTTATAATCACCTGGTGAAAGGTAACGTTAGACATATATCAAGGCACAACACTCATTGTGCTTGAGGTCCCAATATGCATCTCAAGTCAAAGGATAAATGAATAACTATCATTTCAAGATTTACTTTACGACGTCGATCTATGAAGTGATCTTGAAGGCAGGTCTATCCAACACTTGTACCTACAAGTGCAAGTGACTCTGGTCGCACCCCGTGCTGGCCCAACTTGACCTTAACCAGGCTTCACTATGATCTTAGTTTATCACCAGTCCCCCAGTGATTATTGACCACGAACAAATTTAAACAATATAATATTGTTTTGGATTTAAACATGTTAATAAAGAACACAACGAAATTAATGTAATAACTCATACATACTATGCCAAAACAAATATAATTTCATTGCTTAATGTTCCAAAAGTATACAAAAATTATCGTTCAATTCACACACTCAAGAATCTTAAACCTATAGAGCTTTTGTGAGAATCATGATTGCTTTGACTCATAGGTTTAGTGAATGGA